TGAACTCCTGACTTCAAGTGATCCACCCTCCTCAGCTTCCCAAAGTGCTGGGATTACAGGCGTGAGTCACTGAGCTGGGCTGCTTCACCTTTGAGCTTGACCCTTCCCTAGAAGGTGACAGTCATTGGAAGTGGGGGCCCGGGGAGAGGTGTCCTGACTCCAGCCTGGGAGCAGCCAGGGGAGGCCCCAGAGCTGTGCAGGGGGAGGTGCCCTGGGCAGAGGGCAGTGAGGCTGAGGTCTGGAACACTCGAGATTCAAGCTTCGTCCCCTCAGGCAGAATCTCTCCTGGAAGGAAATGAGCACTGTAGGAGAAATCTTTACACTGTTTTCCACAGGGGCTGTACTAGTTTACATTCCCATCAACAGTGTCAAAGTGTCCCCTTTTCACCACACCCATGCCATTTTTTCTATTATGGCCATTCTTGCAGGAGTGAGGTGGTATTGCACTGTGGTTTTGATTTGTATTTCCCTGTCAATTAGTGATGTTGAGCATTTTTTCATGTTTGTTGTCCATTTGTATATTTTCTTTTGAGAATTGTATATTCGCATCCTTAGCCCACTTTTTGATGGGATTGTCTGTTTTGTTCTTCCTGATTTGAATGAGTTCCTTAGAGATTCTGGGTATTAGTCCTCTGTTGGATGTATAGACTGCAAAGATTTTCTCCCACTCTGTGGGTTGTCTGCTTACTCTGCTGTTTCTTTTGCTGTGTAGAAGATTTTTAGTTTAATTAAGTCCCATCTATTTATCTTTGTTTTTGTTGTATTTGCTTTTGGGTTCTCGGTCATGAAGTCTTTACCTAAGCCAATGTCTAGAAGTGGTTTTCCAATGCTATATTCTAGAATTTTTATAGTTTCAGGTCTTAGATTAAGTCTTTGATCAATCTTGAGTTTGTTTTTCTATAAGGTGAGAGATTGAGAATCCAGTTTCATTCTTCTACATGTGGCTTGACAAGTATCCCAGCATCATTTGTTGAATAGGGTGTCCTTTCCCCACTTTATGTTTTTGCTTGCTTTGTCCCTCTTTGTCTTTTTTCACTCCTGTTGCTTTAAATTTGGTATAAGAATAGTTACTCCTTTTCACTTTTGGTGTCCTTTTGCATGAAATACCTTCTTCCATCCCTTTACCTTAAGTTTATGAGTCCTTATGTGTCAGGTGAGTCTCTTGAGGACAACATATACTGGTTGGTGAGTTCTTATCCATTCTACCATTCCGTATCTTTTAAGTGGAGCATTTAGGCAATTTAGATCTAACATTAATATTGAGATGTAACATATTATTCTAGTCATTATGTTATTTCTTGCTTTAATACCATGTTGTTCTTGTTTTTCATTGTGTTTTATAGATCCTGTGAGACTTATGCTTTAAGAAGATTCTATTTTGGTACCTTTCAAGAATTTGTTTCAAGATTTAGAGCTCCTTTTATCAGTTCTTATAGTGCTGGCTTGGTAGTGGTGAATTCTCTCAGCATTTTCTTATATAAAAATGACTAATTTTCCTTCATTTATGAAGTTTAGTTTCACTGGATACAAAATTCTTGGCTGATAATTGTTTTGTCAGGAAGTTAAAGAGAGGACCCCAATCCCTTTTAGCTTGTAGGGTTTCTGCCGAGAAATCTGCTGTTAATCTAATACATTTACTTTATAGTTTACCTGATGCATTTCCTTCACAGCTCTTAAGATTCTTTTCTTAGTCTTGCCTTTAGATAATCTAATGAATGTGTGCCTAGGCAATGATCTTTCTGTGGTAAATTTCCCAGGTGTTCTTTGAGCTTCTTGTATGTGAATACCTAGATATCTAACAAGGCTGGGTGAGTTTTACTCAATTACTCCCTCAAATACGTTTTCCAAACTTTTAGATTTATCTTCATCCTCAGGAACACTAAATATTCTTAGGTTTGGTCATTTAACACAATCCCAAACTTCTTGGAGGCTTTGTTCATTTTGTTAAAATTCTTTTTTCTTTGTATTTGTCAGACTGGGTTAATTCAAAAGCCTTGTCTACAAGCTTTAAAGTTCTTTCTTCTATTTGTTTGATTCTATTGCTAAGACTTTCCCGTGCATTTTGCATTTCTCTAAGTGTATCCTTGATGTCCAGAAGTTGTGACTGTTTTTAATTTATGCTTCACTGGAGATTTTTCCATTTGTAACCTGTATCAATTCTTTTTCAAGTTGGACTTCACCTTTCTCCTGTCTTGATTGGCTTAATAATTGACCTTCTGAATTATTTTTTGGGCAATTCAGAGGTTTTGTCTTTGTTTGGAACCATCGATGGTGAGCTAGTGTGATTTCTGGGGTGTTAAAGAAACTTGTTTTGTCATATTTCCAGAATTGTTTTTCTGGTTTCTTCTCATTGGGTAGACTATGTCAGAGGGAAGATCTGGGACTCAAAGGTTGCTGTTTAGATTCTTTTGTCCCACAGGGGTGCTCCTTTGATGTGGTGCTCTCCCTTTTCCCCTATGGATGGGGCTTCCTGAGAGCCTAACTGCAGTGATGATTACTTCTCTTCTGGATCTAGCCACCCAGCAGAGCTACCAGGCTCCAGGCCGGTACTGGAGAGTATCTGCAGAGTCCTGTGATGTGATCTATTTTCAGGTCTCTCAGCCATGGATAACAGCAGCTACTCGAGTGGAGGTAGCAGGGGAGTGAAGTAGATTTTATGAGGGTCATTGACTGTATTTTTGTTAAGTGCACTGGTTTTGTGTTGTTTGGCCTCCAGCCAGGAGGTGGCACTTTCCAAAGCATATTAGCTGGGGTTGTATGGGGAGGATCAGGTGGTAGGCAGGGCCATAGAGCTCTCAAGAGATTATGTCCCTTGTCTTTGGCTACTAGGGCTGGTAGAGAAAGACCACCAGGTGTGGGCAGGTTAGACGTGTCTGAGCTCTGACTCTTCTTGGGCAGAGCTTGCTGCAGCTGCAGTGGGGAACTGTAAGTTTGTGTGATTCCCAGGCCAATGGAATTATGTGTTCAGGGGGAGTACGGCTATCTTTGCTGCATCACACAGGTCGCCAGGGAAGTGGGGAAAAGCTGGCAACCACAGGCCTCAACCAGCTCCCACACAGCCCATAGACGGAAAGGTTGGTCTTACTCCCATGTGCCTGTCTGCCTCCCTCACCCAACAAGCAACCCAGCTGAGAAATAAAGCAGACTCACAGTTCCTTGGCTGTCCCAGGGAGCCTATAGTGGCATTCCACTTCCTTGAAAGGGTCTGTGAATTCTCTTGGCTTTCCTGGTATGTTCCTGTGGTAGTTCTAAGAGCAAAAGTTCATGATGTTAGTCTCCACACACTGCTCTATATGTCAGAGTGGGAGCTGCGAGTTAGTCCTGCCCCCTAGCCACCATTTTCCCTGTTGTTATTTTTTTTCTATTTTTTAATCTCTTTGCTGAAGTCATTTTGTCCCTGTTTTCCTAATTCTGTTATATTATCTGTGTTGTCTTGTAGCTCACGAGGCAGATAACTCGTGAATACTTGTTTCTTTGGGGTCAGTAACTGTTAAGTTTGTGTTCCTTTGGTGGTGTCATGGTTTTCAGAATTTTCGTGTTTCTTGTATCTTTGCATTGGTGTCGGTGCATTTGAAGCAGCACTTCCCTCTTCCAGACCACCTTTGTTAAGAAAAGCTCTTTACTGAGAGGGGGAGTAGAAGTATGCTGTGACACTGAGTCTAGTGGCATGTGAGGTGGCAACTGTAGTAACTTGTCACAGCTCTGCATCCACAAAGGACAGGAGTGGTGGCACAGGAGCTGAAGTAGCCAGGATCCACAACCTTTGGCTACTATGTAGTCTTCAGCAGTGAATGTTGTGGAGGTTTTGTGGTACCCATGAGGGCTGCTGGGATCCTTAGTAGTGCCACTGGGTAGAGCAGCAAATGCACCTGCATAAGTAATGCCAAAGTTGGCAGTAAAGACTGGGGACAGCTAGGGGTGCACAGGAGGGCTGGTGGCAAGTTAGCGGAAAGTGTGCCTGTGGCACTAACAACTAAGACCAGCAGCAGGTGTGGCAAGAAATGCAGTGGCAAGAGATGGCCATGGGCAGGTATATGTGTGGCAGTGCAAACCACCAGTGCATATGTGACTGCAACAGCCAAAGGCACTAGGAGACAAATGTGCAGTGGTGAGAGCTGGGTAAGGGCATGCATGCAGTGGTGCAAATAAGCAGTGCTTGCATGCACTGTGGTTGACAGTCAGGGCCAGCTGTGTGCATGCACATGCCCATGAGAATTGGTCACAGATAAATGTGGCGGTTAAACCTGAGGCTAGTGGCTCAGTGCCAACTGCAGGCATGCATGCAGTGACCACACTGGCTCCCAGGGTTTGGGTGCCCACAAAGGCAATGACTGGGGCAGCTCCACTGGAGGTAAAAATAACCTAGTCAGCTAGGGTCCATGAAATAAAAAGCCAGGAGGCAATCTGTGGTAAGAGCCATGGGAATTTCAATGCAACTGGGAGGTCCTCAGTGAAGAAGGGTGCTGGGGTCATCTGAAGACCAGGCCACTATGAACCATGGTAGCACCTGCCACATGGCTGATACAACGTTCTCTGCCCTTCTTCATTCCTAGCTGCTTCCAGATATCTCAGCTAGGCCAGTCTTCCCAGGGATTTCAGTGGGATAAAACCAATGTCTTTTGGGCAGTACCCACAAAGTGCAAAGAAGCTGGACACTCGCCCTGCTCTCATTTTCACCTGTGAGGGTAACACTTGGCACTCAGCTGTGCCAGACTGAGGGACAGTATGATAAAGATGAGACTTCCTCATACCCATTCTGTGTGGTTATTTTTGGTTTTTGTTTTGCTTTGCTTTTTTGCTCTACTATCCTGCTGCAGCTTCTTATCTAGACTCCAAAGCTCTCCCACAGCTATTTCCACTCCTGGATGCCTGTCAAATTATTGTTTGCTTGTGGGGTTGAGGGCCAGGGTCTCCTACTCTACGGTCTTGTTGATAACACTCCCTTCTTGAGTATCTTGTATGTTTTCCCCCCAAAAGAAGAAATAATTTGGTAATTGGAGTAAAGTTAAGTAACTTTATTAACTTTTAGAGAAGAGTGTATCAGCTGATAACTGTTCTGTGTTGGTTTATTTCTCTCTTACTTCACAAACCGTAGTAAGTGGATTTTCTAAGTCTTGTGCTATCCAAGACAGGTAGAAAGAATATCAACTAATTTCAGTTATTATCCCTCAAGTAAATGCAGGTCTCTCCTCAACTCTCATATACACACACAAACTTGGACTGGGGAACTGTGTTTTTGTTTATCTCTGGGTTACCATTCAATGCCTTGCAGATTGCCTGAAATATTTTTTGAATGAGTCAACAGTCACAAGAACTGATTATCTGAGGAAACTTCATATAATTAAATTCAAAGTATATCATTCAGTGATAAATAATAAACACAATAACTTAACGAAATGTTGAATTTCTTTCTTACCTCTTCATTTTGTACATACAACTGCAGCTAGTTAGAAAAATGACTTCTTTAATATTATTATTTAGCTCTGTCACCTATGTTGGAGTGCAGTGGCACAATCTTGGCTCAATGCAGCCTCCACCTCCCAGGTTCAAGTGATTCTCCTGCCTCAGCCTCCCAAGTAGCTGGGACTATCAGCTACTTGGGAGGCTGAGGCAGGAGACTACCCCACGCCTGGCTGATTTTTTTTATTTTTAGTAGAGACAGGGTTTCACCATGTTGGCCAGGCTGGTCTTGAACACCTGACCTCAGGTGATCTGTCCACCTTGGCCTCCCAAACTACTAGGATTACAGGCATAAGCCACTGTACCTGGCTATCTATCTTAATTTTATTTTTTTGAGACGGAGTTTCTCTCTTGTTACCCAGGCTGGAGTGCAATGGCGCATTCTCGGCTCACCGCAACCTCCGCCTCCTGGGTTCAAACGATTCTCCTGTCTCAGCCTCCCAAGTAGCTGGGATTACAAGCATGTGCCACCATGCCCGGCTAATTTTTTAGTAGAGACGGGGTTTTGCTATGTTGGCCAGGATGGTCTCGATCTCTTGACCTCGTGATTTACCCGCCTCGGCCTCCCAAAGTGCTGGGATTACAGGCATGAACCACCGTGCCCAGCCTCTATCTTAATTTTTAAAAGGGTTGCCCTCAAACTGTCTTACTACCACCAGAGCCTCCTTAAGTAGCAAAACATTCAATTACTTGAGGTCCAGAACTCAGGGTGCCTATTATGGTCACATATTAAAGTAGGCCAAAAACAAAAAGTAGAGCTTTCATTTATTTTTATCTGACTTCATAATGTGTTTTGTATTCTTGAATTCTCCAAAGTTCTAGATCTTTATTCTTAACTGACTCTGGATATTTTCAACTCCACCCTTGTAAAATCTGATCAATCACTTTGGAAGGCCGACATGGTGTATTACCTGAGGTTAGGAGTTTGAGACCAGGCTGGCCAACATGATGAAACCCCATCTCTACTAAAAATTAAAAAATTAGCTGGGTGTGGTGGCATGCACCTGTAATCTCAGCTACATGGGAGGCTGAGGCAGAAGAATCACTTGAACCAGGAGGCAGAGGTTGCCATGAGCCGAAATTGCACCACTGCACTCCAGCTTGGGCAATGGAGTGAGACTCCATCTCAAAAAAAAAAAATCTGATTAATATTTAGTTTATCCCACTTTGTTTTGCTATTCTCAAAAGTCCTTTCAATCCTTTAACATTCAGTCACCTCCTCTGATGCTGCTCTAGACCTCTTTGTAGTTCTCTTACTGCATGAGTCATATTCTACCATACCATTCTTCTAGCTAAAGCACTTTGAGGAGTTTCCATGAACAATCATGCTCCCTCCCATTTTCATGCCCCTGCATGTTCTGTTCCATCAAGGTAGAAGGCCCTTATCCCCATTCTTGCATTTTCATATCATAGAAGATACCAAACCATTGCAAATGTTTTAATACACTGCTTTTCACATTTTCAAAGATGGTAAAATTATATACCCTCTATTTCTAACATAGTGCTTAATACCTACGTGATGAATATATAAATGAGGCTTGAATGTGTAATTTATCTAAGATACTAAGGTAAGATAAAGATCAACACAGTAATTGTAAAATGGTACATTCACTTTGAAAAACAATTTGTTCCTTCTTCAAAATGTTGAACATAGTTTCCAGAGGACCCAGCAAGTCAACTTCTAGATGTATACTCCAGAGAAATAAAATCATATGTCCACAAAAAAAACTTGTATACTAGCATTCAGAGCAGCATTTCAGAATACTACAAAGTAGAAACAACCCAAATAGCTATCAATCAAATGAATAAACAAAATATGGTATATTCATATAATGGATTATTTAGTAATAAAAAGAAATGAAGTACTCATACATGTTACAACATGTATAAACTCTGAAAATATTCTGCTAAGTGACAGAATAGATCATCATACTGTATGATTCCATTTGTATGAAATGTCCAAAACAGGCATGGAGACAAAAAGCTTATCTGTGGTTTCCAAGGGTTGTGGGGAGGAGGTGGGAAGTGATCGCTAATGGTTACATGATTTCTTTTTTCTTTTTTTTTTTTGAGACGGAGTTTTGCTCTTGTTACCCAGGCTGGAGTGCAATGGCACGATCTCGGCTCACCGCAACGTCTGCCTCCTGGGTTCAGGCAATTCTCCCGCCTCAGCCTCCTGAGAAGCTGGGATTACAGGCACATGCCACCGTGCCCAGCTAATTTTTTTTTTTTTGTATTTTTAGTAGAGACGGGGTTTCACCATGTTGACCAGGATGGTCTCGATCTCTTGACCTCGTGATCCACCCACCTCGGCCTCCCAAAGTGCTGGGATTACAGGTGTGAGCCACCGCGCCCGGCCAGTTACATGATTTCTTTTGGGAGTTATAAAATATTCTATAATTAGCTAGTGGTTATAGTTGCACAACTCTGTGAATATAGTAAAAATCACTTAACTGTATACTTTTTCAGAGTGAATTATATCTCAATAAAGCTATTATTAGTAAATGAACATAATAATGAAAATTCTCTATTCGTTCCAGATTTTTAAATCAGGGGTTTAATCTCTGTAAATCAGAAAACAACTCTGCCTGCCTAGGACTTCTTGATCATACATAATAATTGTACAATTATAAAATGTCAAAGGATCATTCTAAATTAACTTTTTGATCACCTTATTGTTGAGAAAACTGAGCTCCAAAAAGCATAAATGACTTAAATAAGGTTATGTAACTAGCCAGTAGAACCAGGGAAGAGTCTCATTCCAATAATTCAAATTTTTTTGTTGATTTTGACATTTTCTTAAATCCCCGAGTTTTTTATAATTTAAAGAAAAAAATTAAAAAGTAAGAAGAAATGCCTATGTATCTTTCATATTAACTCCAACAACTATTCTTATTTTGTAGGAAATACAGGGGAAAAAAGGCTAAGAGAACAAACAACTGTACCTTTCTGCTCCTATGAATGAGAAAATACAACTATTAGTACTTAAAGGTTTTACTCTTTAAAAACAATATAGTGTAAGTACTCACAGTAGTAGTTAGAGCAATATGGACCACCCTTCCCCGCTAGAGAATAGAAGATAATCAGACACTTCACAAAGATGCTATTAATATTTACCAGGAAAACTTCTCCCAACTTTCAGAAAGACACTAACCTTAATCCATAGGAAAACTTCTTTCAGAATATCAGATTCTAAAGTTTCCCTTTCAGAAGCCCTACTTTTTGCAGCCTTGTTCAGAGCCAATGGCAGATATAGGTGTAATAAGTCATTTCTGTGGTACTGACTCAGGAGATTTTGGGAGTAGTAAAACATTTTCTTTGAAAGTCATGTTTGTTCTTTTCACCAAGAGCAACTCTTAAAAGACTTTTTAATTTATTTTCCCGCAGAAAACCACTGGGTGTATATATATATATATACATTTGTAAAATGCATTTGTAAAAAATATATATATATATATATATTTGTAAAAGAGCATTATTCAATGTTGACCTTCAAAAGCTTATTGTAAAATACCTCATCATATAATCTACAGCCAGAGGGTAACTCAGCAATTGTGTAGTCCAGTATTTCTGCAGCCTAGGTATCCACACGTACGTGAGGATAACATTGGCGGGTAGTGTGAGGAGCTAGGAGAACACTGGATGGTACCTAGAATAACAAACAGTGTTACGTGCTAAATTTAGTTTAGAAAATTCTGGGTTAATTCAATAAATATTTAAGGAATGTCAACTACATGCCAGGCTGTCTACTAGATACTAGAGCAAAACAGATTTATACCAGAATTTTCTTAAAGCCTCTAACACTAAAGGCTAGTGCTCACAATGAGCATGGTTACCATACATCCTAGTTTGCTGTAGACAGCCCCAGTTTACAGGCACTGTTTCAGCATTAAAATCATCTCTTTTTACTTCTATAATTTTACATAGGACTCTCTGAAGAGGTGTAGGTGTGTGTGTGTGTGTGTGTGTGTGTGTGCAGCAAACAGATTTTCCCAAACTTGCATAACCAATTACATTACATACTTCTATCTACATTCCTACAATCATCTCCTAAAACAGTGGTCTCGGTCCGCAGAACATAGTTTGGGGTCTATCCATTCTCAACATTTGATAGCTGAGGAAACAAAGGATTTGAGAGTAAAACAGGCTCAGCTAGACACAGGACACTAAAGCCTAGGACTCCTGGCTCATGGAGAGAGCACTAATGCTCTTTATGATATATCACAGACTGTGATACTAAAGCACTCTTAACATGGTTAACAAGTTCTATTACAAAAATAAGTCACCAAGTTTCACATTTTAATTTCATTTTAAAGGAAGTTCATTTTTTTCTTCCTCAATCATAACTGTAAAATTAATCAAAAACAGAGTCAATGAGAAAATATCTTTTAGTCATCTCTTAAGATTATAACCCAAGTTCACTTACCCTACTCTCTCCTTTCCCTCCCCTCACTCTCTAGTAATTATAAAGTAGCTGATTTCTTTATATCTTCAAAGTATCACTGGCTTCACAGGTGTGTGTTGGGGTGGGGGAGGAGAAGTTAAGTCTATCCATCAATCAACAAAATGTTCAGTGTCTACCACAAAGTATTCTGCTATAATATTTGCACTGTGGTTACAAGTGTTTTTTAAAAGTGAGGATACTATAATAATTTCTTGGACCATATGATACTTAATGCAAATCCCAAAGCCTCAAATTAAAATATAATTCCATTACTATTTTTGAGTTCCTATAAGCTTACCAACAGAAGCTATTTTCTGATTCTGGTTGCACCAAAATGTTTGGCCCTAGAAAAATATCATGGAAAGAATTCTGTATTTAAAAACTAGTTATTCAAATTTTTGATCATCTGTGGCCACTGGTATTTCTAGATAACTGCTATGCATTTTAAGCAACTTAGGTACTTCTTTCAGAGAAAAATGAGTAAATGGTCATATAGCCTTTAAAATGAAAGTCAATGAGCTAAGGAATATTAATAGCCTGCTCTGAAAAAGGAAAAAGTAGAAAATGTTAGTTAAAATAGCATTTAAACTTTTAAGAAATTCATTTCTGTATATCATTTTGTTCATCACCAATAAAAGGTAGTCGATATTAATTAAATCTTACACAGACAAGATAACCAGTTAAACAGATGAAAAGAAAATTACAAGAGAGAAAAACATTTCTAGAAAGGCACTATTTTTGGATTTGTAGATGGTAATTTGAGATGTACATGTAACAGAATATCCTTCTCACATATTGGAAGTTGTGACTATGTGACAGAGCTTTGAGGTTTGCAACACAGCAGACTCTTCTGTAATAATTATTTTAAAAGGCTTGCCTATGACAATTTCCCATCTGAAGTAATAAACTTATTCAAGTCTAATTATTGTACTTAGTTATAATCCCATTAAAAAAAGAAATACAGATATTGATCATATCCAACATTTTCATTGAGAAGTTGACACGGACAATCATGCAGTTTATGTGGATGTTCTCAGAAGCTTTCCTGTGTCTGAGAAACAGAACTACAGGCCTTTTTGTATAAGTTTCTGTACATCTTGTCCATGCTGTTCTCAAAGATGGGACAGTGGGATTTTCCCTTGTGAGAGGCTGCCCTGTGGGACCAGTATTCGCCATCGTCCAAATGGAAAGTGCCCCGTGGTTGCTGACATGAGCTATAAAAAGAGATATAAAAGGTACAAAATAATAATGAAACAAAATTAGAGATAGCACTATGTAAATCAAATATTTATTGACTACTGTATGGGTATTTAATACTCTGCTGGGGCTGTGAAAAACAGACCACAATAATGCCTGTGCTTTCAAAGAGGGACATTTTAAAAGAGGAAGCAGAACTATCTGTGTAAAACTGTTATAAAACAGTAAAATGAAAAGTTTGTGTTAGAGTTAAAAGGAATTCAGATAGACACAGGTGCAGCATGATAAAAGCAGAACACAGGTGGCCTGGTATGGCCAGAATAAAAATGCATTGTTGCTAAAAGTTAGGCACACTTGAAACTGAATTCCAGCCCAGTCCTTTATAAGCTGTGAGACCTTGGGCAATTTATTTAACTATCCAGAGTCTCAGCTTTTTTACCGTTAGTTTTATAGGATTGTTTTAAAATTTAAACACAGAAGTTATTAAATATGAGACATTAAACTAGGTACTTTATATATATTTAAGAATACATCTTACAACCCTTAGAATTTGGTAGATACAGAAATTAAGACTCAGTGAAGTTAAGTGACTTGCCTAAGCCTGCTCAGCTAGTAATTGGCAAAATGAAAAAGGAGACCATGTGTGTGCTCTAAGGCTCTTTGTACTATGCCATGCTGCTATTGCCCTCAGAGTAGAAAATTAGGCTAAAGAGAAACATTTGTGGAAAATGGAAACAAAGCAGAAGAGTTTGAATGAAGTGAAAGGATCAACTGTAGTTTTGAGGGTCTTAAAGTAAAGAAAAGTGGGAGTCAGGAAGGGAGGGAGGAGAAGAGAGAGCAAGAGAGAGAGAGAGAGAGAGAGAGAGAGAGAGACCGTGAGAGTGAGCAAGAGAGAGAGCGAGAGTGCACGCGCATGTAAGTGAGAGTGAGCCTGTAGGGAGCTAATGAAATAGACTAAGATTGAGCTACCTGTGATGAAGACAGAAAAGGAAAGGCAACTCTTTCTTAAGGATTAATAGCACTTTTATGCTATCAGTGTCATAATTTTACTAACATAAACATTAAATTCTTGAATAATATTTTTTATGGATAAAATGTTGAGTTTCTTTTCTTTCTTTTTGAGATGAAGTTTTGCTCTTGTTGCCCAGGCTGGAGTGCAATGGCGCAATTTCCACTCACCGCAACTTCCACCTCCCAGGTTCATGCGATTCTCCTGCCTCAGCCTCCCTAGTAGCTGAGATTACAGGCATGTGCCATCATGCCTGTCTAATTTTTTGTTCTTTTAGTAGAGATGGGATTTCTCCATGTTGGTCAGGCTGGTCTCAAACTCCTGACCTCAGATGATCCACCAGCCTCGGCCTCCCAAAGTGCTGGGATTACAGGCCTAAGCCACAACAGTCAGCCCAAGTTTATTTTCGTATATAAATAATTGACCTATTTCAATTAATGAAATAATTTTTATAGATTAGACCTACCAGGTCTGTTAGAGATTACAAAGTTTCTTCCTGAATACACACAACCGACAAACCAAGATTAAACCATGAAAAAATACAAAACCTGAACAGACCAATAATGACTAACAATATTGAAGCAGTAATAAAAACTCTCTTTCAAAAGCCCTGGATCTGTGGCTTCACTGCTGAATTCTACCAAATATTTAAAGAAGAACTAATAGGAAGTCTACTCAAAATATTACAAAAAATTGAAGATAAAAGAAAACCTATTTTACCTAGCATTACCCTGGTACCAAAATCAGAAAAAAAAAACACAACAGCAAAAATAAATACAGGCTAATATTCCTGATGAACATATGCAAAAATCCTCAACAGAGTATCAGAAAATTGAATTCAATATGAAAAAGATCATTCACCATGCTCAAATGGAATTTATTCCAGGGATACAAGGATGGTTCAACATGTGTAAATCAATAAATATGACACATAATATCAACATAATCAAAAACAAAAAAGTATAATCATTTCAATGGGTGCTGAAAAAGCATTTAATACAATTCAACATCCACTCATAATAAAACCCCTTCATAAACTGGGCATAGAAGGAACATACCTCAAAATGATAAGGCCATACATATATAACAAACTCATAGCTAATATTATACTGAATGGGAAAAAATAAAAAGCCTTTTACTAAGATTTGAAACAGAACAAAGATGCCCACTTTCACAACTTATATTCAAGAGAGTAATGGAAGTCCTAGCCAGGGCAATTAGGGAAGCAAAAGTAATAAAGCAGATCAAAATTGAAAAAGAAGTCAAATTATCCTTTTTTACAGAAAACATGATCTTATACTTAGAAAAACATAAAGACTCCCCCCCAAAAATTAAAATGAATAAACACATTTAGAAAAGTTGCAAAATAAAAAATTAATATGTAATAATCAGCATTTCTATATGCCAACAGTAAACAATCTGCAAAGAGATCAGAAAGGCAATCCCATTTCCAATAGCAAAAAAAAAAAAAGAAAAAAAATTTGGCCAGAAAAGTGAAAGACTGCTATGATAAAAACTATAAAACACTGATAACAGAAACTGAAGAGAATACAAGAAAATGGAAACATAGTCCATGTTCATGGATTGGAAAAATCAATATTGTTAAAATGCCTATTCTACCTGAAGCTATCTACAGAGTCAATGCAATCTCTATCAACATACTAATGACATTCTACACAGCAGCAACAACAACAACAAAGAAAATCCTAAAATGTATTTGGAACCACAAAAAAAAAAAAAAAAAAAAAAAAAAAAAAAAAAAAACAAACTAGAATAGCCAAAGGAATCCTGAGCAAAAAGAATGAAGCTGGAGGCATCACATTACCTGACTTCAAATTAAACTGTGACACTACAGTAACCAAAACAGCGTGGTACTAGAATAAAAACAGATGGATGGAATAAAAACAGATCAAGGGAACAGAATGAAGAAATAAATCCATACATTTAAAGTTAACTCATTTTTGACAAAGGCATCAAGAACATACACTGCAGAAAGGACAGTCTTTTCAATAAATGGTGTGGGGAAAACCGGATATTTTTAGGCAAGAAGAAAAATAAAAACAATGCCTATCTCTTACCACATACAAAATCCAACTAAAATGGATTAAATACTTAAATGTGAGACCTGAAAGGATGAAATTATTAGCAAAAAATATTGGGGAAATGCTTTGGGATATTGATCTGGGCAAAGATTACTTGAGTAACATCTTAAAAGCATAGGCAACCAAAGCAAAAATAAACAAATGGAATCACATCAAGCTAAACAGCTTCTGCACAGCCAAGGAAACAATCAACAAAGTAAAGAGACATAATACAGAATGGGAGAAAATGTTTGCAAACAACTCATCTGACAAGGGATTAATAACCAGGTTATATAAGAAACTCAGCAGCAAAAAACAAAACCAAACAAATAATCTAATTTCTGATTTTAAAATGAGCAAAAGATCTGAATAGGCATTTCTGGAAAGAAGAAAGAAAAGTGGTTAAAAGAAATATTTTTTAAATATTCAATATCACGAATCAAATCAAAGCCACAATAAAAAAAATCTCAACCCAGTTAAAATGGCTTTTATTTTAAAAAGACCAAAAAAAAAAAATAATAATAATGCATGCTGGTATGAATGTGGAGAAAGGGGAATGCTCATACACTGTTGTTGAGAGTGTAAATTAGTATAGTCCACTATGAAAAACAGTACGAAGGTTTCTCAAAAAGAAAAAAACCACAAAACACTACATATAGAACTATCATATGATTCAGTAATCCTACTGCTGGGTATATAGCCAAAGAAAATAAAATCAGCATATCAAAGAGACACCAGCACTCCCATATTTATCATAGCATTATTCACAATAACAGAGACATGAAATCAACCGAAGGGCCCATCAGTGGATGAAGGGGTAAAGCAAATGTGGGAAATGTACTCAATGGAATATTACACAGCTATTTAAAAAATCTATTCATTAGCAACAACATGAATGGAACTACAGGACATCATGTCAAGTGAAATAAGCCAGGCACAGAAAGACAAATATTGTATGTTCTCACTCATCTGTGGCAGCTAAAAAAGTTAATCTCATGAAGGTTGAGAGTGGAATGATGGTTACCAGGGACTTGGAAGAGGAGGAGGGAATAGAGGGTTTGGTTAATGAGTAGAAAAATACAGTTATCTCACGCCTGTAATCCCAGCACTTTGGGAGGCCAAGGCAGGTGGATCACAAGGTCAAGAGATTGAGACCATCCTGGCCAACATGGTGAAACCCCGTCACTACTAAAAATACAAAAAATTAGCCGGACCTGGTGGCACATGCCTCTAATCCCAGCTACTTGGGAGGCTGAGACAGCAGAATCACTTGAACCCAGGAGGCAGAGGTTGCGGCGAGCCGAGAATGCACCATTGCACTCCAGCCTGGACAATAAGAGCAAAACTCTGTCTCAAAAAAAAAAAAAAAAAAGAAAGAAAGAAAAGAAAAGAAAAATACAGTTATAAAGAAGGGAAAACCTTTGGAGTTTGACAGCCCAGTAGGGTGACTATGGTTACCAATTTGTCGTATATTTCAAAATAGCTAAAAGAAAGATTTGGAATGTTTCCAATACAAAGAATTGATAAATGTTTGAGGTGATATCCCAATGACCATAATTTGATTTACTTCACACTGTATGCATGCATGAAAATATTGTATGTACCTTAGGTATATGTACAATTATGTATCAAAGTTTTTTTTTTTAAAAAAGGGAAAATTTAAATTACTCAAACTGAAATTCTGTTATGAATAATTTCATAACTGAAACATTCTTATTGAGCATATCCCTATTGTCAATATCCTTAAAATAATGCAAAAACAAATAGAAAACAGTTTTTATCAATACCTTTCTATAAAAGGAAGATAGTGTTAAAAATTCTACATAACAGCCATAATAGATCATATTCTAAACACAAATTTAAAATTATTTTTATCTTTATTTTTCTTCTTTTTTTTTTTTTTTTAACTTGGCCAAAAAGGCTTTTA